GGGATTTGGGATTTCGGCAAAAAATACTAATCATAATTTGGAATTTGGGATTTGGGATTTTGGCATTTGGGATTTTGAATTTGGGTGGCAGGTATAATATCGGGTACCTGATATGTGCATGGTACGTCCCTGATATCGGGCATATATCGGATACCCGATATTGTTAAAAATATTTTATATATATATCGGGTACCCAATAAGTGTAAAAAAATATTTTCTATACATATCGGATATCCGATATATGCCTGATATTAGGGACACACCATACACATATCAAGTATCCAATATGTGTATGTTTTATCAATTTTTGACCAGTGCAATGTACAATATTGATGATAATACCTGAAGCATTTTTGTATGTCATTTCAAATTTGAACTACTGTCTAATTGAGCATATTTAAGAGATACTTATTTATATGATCTTTATCATAATTACATCTAATCTACTTCTGGAAATATTCCATCCACACGATATTTTCACAGAACAGTCTTTATACGTAAGTAGTGTGAGTTGAGTTATGTTGTGACTTTCAGCTTATAATGATAATGATAATATATATTTAATTTTTTATTATAGCTCAATATAATCAAATTTTAATATTTTATAGATATCCGATTCTGAATAATTCGATTATGGCACTTGATATCTTGAAGTTTGTATGGTCGATTCCTACAATTTCAAATACTGGTGGCTCTTAAAATAATTTGAACCATTTTAATTCTATATTAATTGGAACTTATATTTTTATTGCATTTGGAGGATCATCTGGTAAACACAATATTATTGCATTATAATTTTAAATTAATAATTTACAAACTAATGACTTTCGATTTCAGTTCCAGGTAATCTGAATTATAATTTTACAAATAACATGTTTCTTCTTGATGTAAGTCAGAAAGATAGTTATAAATGGGTTACATCATATGAACTTACCAAATCGTTCCAACTAACTTCTACCGCTTCCATTCCAATTTCAAAAATACCATCAACTTCTGTATTTTCATCAAACACTTCAAATACTTTACCTATTAATTATGGTGCAATAATTGGTGGCACAATTGAAGGAATTACAGAGTTGATAATCTTGTCAACAGTTGCAGTTATTGTTATCAAAAGATATGGTCATCCTCCAAACTTTTTTACTTTACAGGAAGAAGAAAGTAATCAAAAAATTTCTTAACTGTTATATTATATTTTACTTTATTTATAAAATTTGAAATTTATATGGTACCAAAGTGAAATCAATTCACATACTTAATTTATTCCAATAAAACATACATATTAATAAATCAACAATTACAATTAAACTAATTCGTCTATAAATAGATTCTATAGGCTTTATAATTTAAAGCAATAGACTCTGTGTTTCTATCTATCTATGTGCATGATGACTTTTAATTTTTTTTAACATGATTTCCATGCAATACGACCACACAAGATATAATGACTACTAAAAGTCAGGTTTACAGAATGTGAATTCAGTTTTACTTTTAATATAAAAAAACTTTAAGGGAAGGTTGGATCTAATTTATTAGAGTCTTTTAAATAAAATTAAAAAAATAATAGTAATATTATAAATACAATAAAAAATCGATAAACTTTATTTGTATTGATGTTTCAAACATCTTTTCATTATTACAAATAATAACTGAAAGTAAATATTAGTACAATTTATACTAAAATATTTTCATCTATTCTCAATAATATGTGTGTAATATTAAAAATTAGTAAATAATTAAATAATTTATCAACAAATTTAAATATTTCTACAACAGGTTATTTATGAATTAAAATAATAAAAATTATCTATATCGATATCCAATAATCTTCTCCTTCTAAAGTATCAATTCTTTGATGAGATGAGCATTAACATCAATCATTATAACTTCTAATTCATTATTCCTATCAATATTTTATTATCTTATTAAGTTTCTCTAACAAATATCTTTTAAAGTTCTTATTAGAATTCTTGGGTATATATAATAAAAATATGAATTATATACCTTATATTTGTCTTTATCACTTCTCTAGCTTCAGCAACAACTTCTACTTCTTTATTTAACTTCTTTTACTGGTTTTTTAATGTTTACCTAAACCATTTAAGAGTTGTTATATTTACTAATTTTAAATAATTCAATTTTCTAAAAATAAAGAAATATGATAATTTGTTTTTTTATAAAATAATATGACAGATAAAAAACAATGAATTTAGTAGATTTTATTTATTAACAAAACTGATCATGAATTTATTTATTATTAAAAGAAAAAAATTCAAAATTATGGTACAAGAAATATTTTCAGCATTAAAAAACTCTATTTGTTACAAAGGAGAATAAGATGATCAACACCACTGGTGTGATATGAAGTTTTTGAAAAAATAATCAGTTAAAGATTTTTTTTGAGGTTTTAATGTCTAGTAATTTTGAAAATAGTATTTTAATAGGCAAAAATTTTCATAAATTTTTAATATCTTTGTAAATTTTACAAAAAAAAAATCAAGTTAGAAATTTTTCTATAATTTTTTCTAAATTCCTGCTAAATTACAGAGTTTCAGAAATTAGTTTAGCACGATTACAAATTTTAGAATGATAGCAAAATTAGAATCATCCTAGTATGTATGTTTACAATAACCCTTTTACAAATAATATAATTTTTTTTAGCAAACCAATTAATAAAATATTTATTATACTATCTTTAAATAATTTTTGGGAAGTTTGAAAAACAAATTTTTTAAATTTTTCTATTTTGATTATTACATTTACCTAAATTTAATTTACATCAGAAAATTTTTCGGGGCGTAAATTTCCGTAACACAGACGGGACCCACGGAAATTTACGCCCAAAAATTCAAT